GTTTAGACCTTAAAAATACTACAGTGTGGGTTTAGGGTGGGGAGTCTCTGGACCTACACGGACCCTTCTCTTGGCAAAATGCTTACACTACCTGTGCTGATTTCCAGATTGTTTACTACAATATGCAAATGAATGGACTTTTCGCTAAGATAGCATAATAAGCTCCTGCTTCTTCTCCAGACTGAACAGCATGCAAAGACTAACAATGAAAACCCACTGTTCGGGGAGGCAGGGGAGCAGATCAAAAGCACACCGATTACGAACTTAAATGAGCCATTGCACATCCATTTCCTGCCATTCCCCATTTTATTTACTTGAGTATATCACATAAAGCTGTCCTATCGTTAGTGTAAATGTTTGCCTTTGGAACCTGCTTTCTAAGTAATTGTTTGAGTTTGGATTGCAGTGCCATGTGAGGCTTTTCTTCTAATTTAGTGTCAAATTCATCTTCTTTATCCATGATTAACGCATACAATAATTATCCATGAAGATCACCCAAGTGACATTAGCAGTTACACCCTTGATATTCTTTCACCATTCTTAGTAAAAATATCAGTTTGTTTGCAACACAGGTTTATACATTTTAAATGTTACAGATATTGTAATCACTGGTTAGAACAATAACAATTCTTAAAACTCTTGTTCCTTAGACAGATGATATTTAATATGCTTTAAGATAAATAGGTTAGGTAACCTGATCAAATGGGATTGTGAAGTCACATGAGATTTTAATTAGTCAGAGGATAAAACATACAGAAATATAAAGTAACAAGAACTGGTTTAGACACTCTTGTTTTCTTTTTCAAAGTATGCATAAATGCAGTTCGGGACAAAGTAATTCCATACATCCCAAAGGAAACTGGCATGTCTAAGATTCTCACAGAAGAAATTCAGCAATCCTGACTTGTCAATGACATTTTTATATATCGTGGCAAAAGCAAATGTCATTTCTGGAAAAAATATTATTAATGGACACCTCCCCTGTAATCAGGCTGTTAAAACCCGCAGAATCTCACTGGGACAGCTTTGCAAGGCACTTGGAAGGCGAAATCACTCATGATCTTGACACCACAGTTGCTGCAGATCCAGCTGAGGGGTCCATTGCATCATCAGATTCAAATCTATGGCCAGCTTTTGAGGCCTAGGGATTTGGAAAACGTAACACTGCATGTCTTTCAGACTCTTACTCATCCTGCCTTGTTCAAACAAGCAAAGAGAAAAGACTAAACATAATTGCTGTGGCTGCAGGGTATAGGAAATGCTTTTCTGCATGATGAAGCACTGTCCGACATCTGTGAGGAAGTGGGGAAACACCCACTGTGGAAGAAGTCCACCCAGGACTCAGTGTTAGCAAACACCCCTGTAGTAAGTAAAGTGTTTGAGAGGATGGTGGCAGCTCTTGGAGGAAACATTATCCAGATCAGTTCATATCTGGTTTCAGGCCTGATTTGGGGACAGAATCTATTTTGCTGACCCTGACGGATGTCCTTTATCAGGAGAGAGTGAATGGGAGTGTGACCCTGCTGATTCTCCTTGATATATCGTCGTATCTTGCTGGACTATCTCTGTAGAGGGTGGGAGACACAGTATTCTACTCCTACTTGCAGGAGGTTTTTCAGCATGTTCAATCTGTGCAGTTCCCTCTGGAAATTCTACTGTGGGGTGCATGGTACCAACCTGTTCCCCAATCCTGTTCAACATCCACATGAAGCCGTTGAGGTGCGTCATTAGAGCTTTTGAGACACAATGTCATCTATGCCAATGATACCCAGCTCTGTTGCTCTATGACATCTGGTTCAACTGTGGCTTTGTGACTCATGCCTGAAAGCAGTAGTGAGCTAAATGAGGGCCAATAAGCTGAGCCTGAATCCTTACAGGTATGTGGGTGGCTCCCATGTCTAGGAATTGGACAAGTTACCTGTTCTGGATGGCATTGCAAAGAAGGATCAGGTTGTCATTTAGGAGCACCTCTCAAAACATCTTTGTCATGGGAAGGTCAGGTGCCCTTGATGACTATATGTACTTTTTACCAGCTTTGGCTGATATGCCAGCTATGGCCTTTCCTGCATATGGAAAGTCTGGCCACAGTCACTTCAGAACTGGTTTGCTGCAATGCATCTATATGGGGCATCTCTTGAGACTGGTTCATACACTGCAGCTAGTGCAGAACTTGATAGCTTGGTTTCTAAGTAGGGCAGCCTACTTTCACCCTCAATGGCCATCATCATGTTATACCGCTGTAACATCCCACTGGCTATGTGATAGTAATCATGAAATAAACAGGGAATTATACACTAGTTTAAGTTATCTGTGAATCATGCTCCACATTGGGCTTTCAGAATTAAAGCCACAGACCTGGCTCAAATCTATGACGCAAATGAACCTCTGCACAGAGGCCAATGTGGCACACTGCTTTGCAGTACCACCTGGTTTTGCTTATACAGTTGAATAAGAAGAATTTGGTGGGCACTGGAGCATGTGTGTATAGGAGTGCTCATGCCATGCAAGATATGGCTGGAATAAGGGGACTGAGTACAGTGTTCCAAGATTGCTCTCTTGCATTTTGACAGTTTTTTGTTTCTTTGCTTGCCACACTTTTCAATGAGAATGAGATAGTCTTCAACAAAGAAAGCATTTGAATAAAAGCTGTGCCTTGAGTCCACAAATATTACCCTTATCCACAGATGACTCATTGTTTATACAAAACAGTGTTTGGATTCTGTTTATTAAAAAAAGAAGAAAAGAAATAAATGATTTGTCTGGAATAAAAAGCTATATTTATAAACTGTGGGTGTAGGCAAGTGTCCCTAGATCATCGCACCATTATACATTTTATTTTCAGGATACAAATTTACAGTAATTGTCAGGATGGTATCATATCTGACTGAGCACCAGAAAGGCAGTTTAAACATCCAATGTATGAACATAATGCTGGACTAGATGGAACTTTGGCCTGATCCAGCATGGCTCTTCTTATGTCCTTATTGTTGGTTTAATCCATGGCTGTTTTTAAATTTCACTAGCATTGGGGTTCTCCACCCAACATCCCAAGCAGGCTATGGGGGCTATCATCAGGCGCTTCTCCTGTGTACATCCTGTTGAAATTAACAAAAGTTGCACATGAACACACTGTGCAACTGGTTTTCATTCTCAGAGGGCTTATACAGAAAGGAGTCTCATTACATTGTGCCCAGGGGTTTAAAACTTAGTTAAAGGAAGAGTAGCAAAAGAGACGTGTAATAGCTTGTCCTAATCCTGCAAACACTTTTCAGATGCTAACATTCTCACCAGCTTAGTGATCGGCATGTAGTGTTTGCAGAAAAAGATCCTAATATAAGAAGGCTGCAAGTACCACTTCTGCGTGCAATTGCTCAAATCACATTGCAATCCCATCCCACCCTTGCCCAATAAACAACTAAAAACTGACAATTTTGTTAATGTGAGTGTGGTTTCTTGCTTTTTTTTAATGTTGTGCATTGGACTTGAACAGCAAACTGTGTGCACTTCGACTGTTATCACAATGTGGTCAAGAGGGCTGTGTCTTTCATCATTTACACACATCTGTTCATTACAGTATATTATCAGGCTAGTGAAAACCAGGGGTGTGGTGTGGTCAGCAGTATTGGTAGTGCATCTAGATTTTATATTATCTAACTTGAAAATAGTTCTCTTTTAGGATTTCCCCCTTTCCTTGATAAAAATAGTTTTCACCAAACGTTGGTGGTGCACACGCACTACCAGTCACTCTTGGAACCACACCCCTGACCGGAACGCAGGTTTTTGAGAGTGTTGCTTTAAAAAGTATTACAAAAAAATTCCATACAAAAACTATTTTCATAGAAATCTTGCATTTCCACAAATAAATGAGAACATTTCTTTCCCTTCCTTTTTGCTCGAGGGAAAAAACTGTTCAAGAATTTTGCTCTTTTAAACACAGTTGACTGTATTGAGAAATGCAGTCCGTAGTTGTTCACATTCCCTTCTTTTTAGATGACCTATCCTAGTTCCACTATTAGCGAGAATTCCACAGACTCCGTAGAGGTTGATCAAAGTAGGAATGAGAGCTTCCCAAACCCTCTGGGGCTAAAACCCACACATCCCTACATCATGTCAGTTATTCTCTTTGCTCCACAGTTAAACAATGAAGTAATTGCTTTGAGCTAAGCATCATATGGTACATCAACCAAAAGGGAAAGGGAAAAAGAAAAAGAAAAAAAGAAAATGGAGGGAAACATTTTGTATCAGCTAAAATATGGCCCACCTCCTTTGGGTTCTCTCACAACAGAGTTCCGCTGCAGATGAATTCTATGGTTTCTAGTGCCTGACTAAGGGTTTTGTTTTTGTTCAGGTCAGTGACAGAGAGACAGTCAAAAATACTTTCTGAATTCATTCTTCTAGTTTGTGGGGTCCGTTTTCACTGTTTTGTTTTTCCCATTGAACAAGCTCACATCGGCTGGCAGTATCACCATGTAGACTTTGGCCAGCACATACCAGGTCTTCTATGCTTGGAAGTACATAATGGAGTCCCCTTTTTCCCGTACTAGAGTTCTGAGCTATTATTTTTCAAAGTCTCCTCTGGTAGTTAGTTTCCTTAGTTGTTCAATTGCTTCTCCAGCCCCTGGCAATGGATGAACTTCAAAAAGGAACCTGCCATTTCTCACTGAGACTGCATTTGTATCCAGCCATAAAACTCACATAGACCTTTCATTCATTAAGGAATGGTGGAACCCATGACAAATGGTAGAATGCCCACACCCACGTCCCTCCCTCCCTTTATAAACTTGGTTGATCCATGATGCTTGTGATTTGAGTCTGGCCTTTGCAACTGCTTAGATCACAGAGTCTTTAGTTCATAGACACAGCGGCATGAGGTAACTCATTTTATTTTGCACAGGTTGCATATTTCCACAGGAAACATTCTCGCAAAAGTTGTTTTGGGGAAAAAAGAAACGGGAAAAAAAGACAACAGTTTGTGCTTGGGGTTGTTTGGCCTCCCAGCTCTATGCCATGGTTTCTTTACCTGGCAACCTTCTGTCATTAAACGTGTGCATGTTGATAACCTCTTCAGTTTTCACAATCACAGGAGCCTGTGGTTTGTGTTTTAACCGACGCTGGCACTTCAGAGACATCCGCAGTTCCTCTACCATGGCACTACAGAAGGACCTCTGCAGGGGATGTTTGAAGAAGTTTTTAAAAATGTATAGAAAGAAAACAAGGAAAAACAGCATTATTATTATTATTATTCATATTTATGCATCAATATCTCTCAATTCAACTATACACGGTGCTTTATGGGGCAGTATCCAGTGCGGCTGCGGATGGGACAATCCACTGGCATTATGCAAGAGGTTGCTATTGCTGGTGTTGCTTCATCAGCACATATGGAATCATAGAATCATGGAACAGTAGAGTTGGAAAAGGCCAGAAGGCCAACAGGTCCAATCCCCCCTATTGCAGGACACAAAGTCACACCATCCCATTCAGATGGCTGTCCAGGTGCTTTCTGATTGTGTCTCATGAGGGAAAGGCCACAACTTTCCCAGGTAACAGGTTCCTATGCACATATTTATTTATTATTATTTATTTATTAAAACATTTTTATGCCGCCCCATTCGCCGAAGCCTCGGGGCGGCTTACAACAAAAAATTAAAATAACATTTTAAAATATATACAATAAAATACAAATATACACTATAAAACAAGCCGCCCTGGCCAAATAAAATTCAATAATATTAACATTTAAAATACTGCTTAAATAAAAAGGTCTTCGCCTGGCGCCGAAAAACAAATAACGACGGTGCCAGGCGGACCTCTCTGGGGAGCGCATTCCATAACTTAGGCGCCACCGCTGAGAAAGCCCTCCTCCGAGTAACCACCCTCCTAACTTCTTCCATGGAGGGCTCCCGGAGAAGGGCCTCTCCCGCCGATCTCAGGGGGCGGCTGGGCATATAAGGATGTAAGCGCCCCTTCAGGTAACCAGGACCCAAGCCGTTTAGGGCTTTATAGGTCATTACCAACACCTTGAATTGGGCCCGGACTTCAATGGGAAGCCAGTGAAGCTGACGGAGAACTGGAGTCATGTGAACATAACGTCCAGTCCCCGTCAGCAGCCTGGCAGCTCTATTTTGGACCAATTGAAGTATCCGGACCGTCTTCAAGGGTAGCCCCACGTAGAGCGCGTTACAGAAGTCCAAACGGGAAGTCACCAACGCATGTGTCACTGTCGCAAGGCAGTCATTCTCCAGATAGGGGCGCAGCTGATGAATTAGCCGAAGCTGGAGGAAAGCGCTCCTCGCCACTGCTGTTACCTGAGCTTCCAGTGAAAGCTCTGGGTCGAGGAGCACTCCCAAGCTGCGGACCTTGTCCCTAAGAGGGAGTGCAACCCCATTCAGGACAAGGTTCAATTCACCCTCTCCGAAGCCCGATCCACCAACCAACAGGACCTCCGTCTTGTCTGGATTGAGCTTCAGTTTATTGGCCCTCATCCAGCCCATTACCTCGGCCAGGCACCGGTTCAGCACAGCCACTGCCTCACCTGGCCACTGCCTCACCTGGCACTGCCTCACATAAGCACATCATAACCCAATCAGCCCCATTGATTACTGCCTTTTTTTGGTGAGCATTGACAATTTATCATATGTCACTCTGTACAGAATCTCTCTTCATTAAAATGACTGGTAGCTTGTTTTCTCTCCTTTTTTCCACCCTTGTAAACTAGCCCCATTACTCTCACTTTTTTAGCTGAAACCTGGCCACTAAGGTGTATCTAATAGTTTGACGAACAGCCCAGAGAGCTTCAACTATTGGAAGGTATAGAAATGAAATCAATAAATCAATGAAACAGGTCCATGATGAACACTATCTATGGTCCACACTGGAAATATCTAGCAATATCTCCAAGTACAGAGCATTTCCTAGCACATCCTTGTCAAGTGCTTCCCATGCTTCAGCCATAATCTCATAACAAAATGGGCATCTTCTACATATCAATCTCTTATAAGTAAGTTCACGTCAATCTGTTCTATATTGCTGAAAGCATCTTACTTTCCACTGTGTGCTCTGATGATTCGTACAGCATACAGAAAGGTTATTCAAGCAAAGGTAATTCACACATGAATGAACATCAAGGGGATCAACAGTGCAATCCCATGCATGTGTGTGCAGAAGTAACTTGCACTGAATTCAGTGACTTACTTTCAGAGAAGTAAGGAGTGCAGCTTTTAATGATGTGACAACAGATGGAGTCACAGCTGAACATGTGAATTGCTTGCATTGAATGGATTGTGTTCAGAATGAAAAGCTCTCTTTCTGTGTAATTTTCATTTCAGAGATAGCTATTTCACATATGCAGCTCAACAAATGATATTGAAATTTTCATCAATCAATGAATGTGCATGTTGGGACTCAAAGTTTCTCTGATATTTTGAACAACTGAATGCAGTTTTGGACAAATGCCTTCAAAACTAGTGGTTTAATTGTTTCAAAATAACATACAATTAGTCATATCAGTTTGTCTAAGTTACACTGTTCATTTCTTACCAAGTGAAGTTAAATTACTTTAATGTACTTAAACCTCTTAATACCAAAAAGTCAAACATCAAAACAACAGTGCAGCAATTGGACATCATATCTGGAAAAAGGCAACATAATATTCAAGATTTTTTTAAAGTGGAGTTAAAATACTGAACTGTTTGTTTCTTACAAAAGTAAGTGATTACTATCCCAGAATCAAACCATTAGATGCACATTTGTAAGGCAGTTTATTCTGCATCCCAAACTGATAAGCAGGGGCTCCAAAAACTGAAATGCTATGAGCTGCCCGTTCCCTCGGCACACATCAGGCAGAGAACTATGCCTGGGATTTGCCCCTGGACATATATTCAGCAGGATATACAACACAATTCCTGAAAAGCAAGCTGAAAATGCATGCATTATCAAGCATGTGCTTGCCATACCCTTACTTTTCAGATGAACACTTAGGAGAACACCTTAAGAATGCACTCTGTGCTGGGGGTTGAAGCAAATGAACCTCAGTATCCTCACAATCCACTCTTGGGCTCACTACAGTAACACACAAACAAGGATTGGGGCAGGTGTGGGTTCTCCTTGAAAAGTAGGTTACAATGTTGTCTGAACCCAGCTGAAATAACAAGCTATGGTTTGTTAACCATGAACAACCTACAAAAAGAACCCATGGTTTGTTGCTGGGCGGTGCTGTTGCCTCCATCCACTTGTTGAGACCATCTGCCAGAGGGCCCTATCTGTCCACCCATCCAAGGAGGGCTGGTTTTCAGGCATGTTTGGGAACCTGCCCAGGGCCCACACCTCAGCAGCGGCCCCTGACAAGAGTTCCCTGAAGTTTGCTTCTGTGCACCACTGCAACCATTTCCTTTATCTTGTTCCAGCCCTGGTGACAGAGGTGGTTAAAGTAAAAGCAGTAGCCACTTCTTCTCTGCCTGTCAAGTAAGACATTGCAGTGACAATGATAGAAAAGATGAGGAGCAATAACAGCTGCAGACAATGATGATGAAAAAGTAGCTTCAGGTGTGAAAGAGGGTGCACTGATGGTGTCTTGTCCAAGGGCCCTCAAAACCTGGAGCTGACACTGCATTCATCTGTATAGCATTCACTCACCCATAGGGATAATCCTGGCTCATCACAAACAACTAATCCTGCTACTTTCATTTTGTTCCCAGATTTTATGGTAATAATAACTACTTTCCAAAGAAAGCCAACATTGCATGGATACCAGTTTAAAATAAAAATTACAACAAAGCTGGGACATTATTAATATTGGGTAATATTGAGAAATAATTGTTTCAGGCAATAGAGGATATACAGGTGGTGCACTTAGAAACAGGAAAAAAAAGCAAAGTTCATAAAATATTTTATTCTGTCCTAAATGTTCTCTATTAAGCATAACCAAAAGCATTCTAAGAAAAGGAAATTTGAATAATAACCCTAACCCTAACCCTGGGTACTGTCAGTTGGCTTTCAGGGAGACATAGAGATATGAAACATTGGACAGAAACCATTAACAGCTATACAAATTGCTACAGTTTGTATATTTTGCTTTGCCTATTTATTTGTTTGTTTGTTTGCTTGCTTGCTTGCTTTTAGGCTTCCTGTTTCTAATAAAAAGTTACACTCAAGTTCACCTTTTCTGCATCTCACACAAGAAAGATGAAGTGGGCAGGGACAATGGCATGGAAATGCTTTCTTCTTTTGCTGTCCTTGCCCAGTCACCCTTCTCCCCCCTAAAATGTGTCCAGAATATCTACTGTCTAAAATTAACATGCACAGTTGAGTGTAGCTGCAGCTCAGGGATAAATAAGTACATACATGATTTGCATTCAGAAAGACTCAGGTTCAATCCATGCCATCTTCAGTTTTGAAGGGCAAGTCACAGGGGATGCCAAAGATCGCCATTTCAGACCCCAGAGAGATGCTTCCAGGCAGAACACACAATATTGGGTTGGATCATAACATTATAAGAGCTGGAAGGAACCTTGGAGATCTCTATTCCAACCACCCCCTGCTTAAGGTCCTAACAAAGCTGTGTTCATTTGCAGGACCAGTTTACTACCATGGATTGAGATGTACATTCTCATTTCTGTATGAATTCCATACAGGCCACAGCTATGTGGCAGAGCATGTGTCTTATAGCACAAGGCTCAATCTACAGTATTGCAAAGAAGAGCTGGAAAAGTTTCTGCCTAAAACCCCAGAGGTCCACTGAGGTCACTGGCCTCAGAAACGCTGGCCTAGATGGACCAAAGCTCTGTCAAGGTATACAGCAGCTTCCTACACTCCCAACTCACAATGAAGCAACATTACAACAAAGAGCAAATCAGCCCACGTGTAGGATGGAACGTTGTGATATGGGCTTTAGATTTGGCTTCTGATGAAGAAACACTTCTGCTAGCAACTAGGGATGGACGTCTGTAGGACTATCTGCCAACTGGATGCAAGGCATGGATGTGTGCTCAGTTCATGAACTCTTGGGTCTCAGGGAATTTATCTGCTTCCTTGAAGCCAAGGTTGCTGACCTGGAGAAGCAAAGAGAGGTAGATAGCAAGGCTAAGAGGAGTCTTCTTAGCTCCTTGGTGGTTATGGAGAAAGGGGGTTTTAGGGAAGGAAGAAGGAAGTGATTTCTTAGAAGTGT